GTTTGTTGCACAGAGTGGTCGTTTGGGAGCCGCACTTGAAGTATGATTAGCACTTAAGCAGTGTTGGGAAAGCTACTAAAAAATTTATTGAGCTAAGCTGTTAGCTACTCTACTTAAAATGTAGCTTAACTACACTGAAAGCTACCCCTGGGAAATGTAGCAAGCTAAGCTAAAAGCTACATGGCAAAAGTAGCTTAGCTACATCTAAACTATTTTTACAATTTTTATTTTTAAATTGAATAAAACAAATTGGGGATTTTTTATGAATTTATTTTAACAGTCTTAAAAAAAAAACTACAACCCATTGAAAAGAAACCGTGCATAATAAATAAAAATAGTGTTAAAAATGACTTTTTTGTCTCATGTAAGTAACAATGTGCCGTGGTTAAGGTGTGCTTCAATCCGGTTACCACAGCAAGTATATTTCAAACCTGTGGGATGCACTTTTACATCTACAGGATCGTGAGAAAATCCTGATCTTGATTTTAAGAAAAAATATTTGTGATTTTCATTTTAATTGGAATTGTGCAGCCCTACTATTTCCAAATAAACACACTGGAAAACTTGCAGTTAAAGAGTATATCTTTACCATATTATAGATTTAAAATGTTATATTTTTAGGTTGATTTGGCAATGTTATTTTATTAATTTTGCTTATTAAATTTAATTAAGATTTAATTGTTACTGTCCTGTGTTGTTTACTGTGGTTATAATGGGAAATATTTATTTTTGATCAATGTTTTTACAATTTTAGACTTCAATCCCTTAAAAAAATAATATTTAGGTAGTCATTTTTATTAATAAAATTAATTAATTTTTATGTTTTTATAAAGCCTGTTTTGAATTATTATTGTTTGTCTTTGAGCTCAATATGTGGTTTTCATATTGCATTTTTCTTCATTATCCTCTTATCTTTTAGGATGCCAGGCAAAATCATTAAGTTCAGATTGCGGGATCTACTGTACACTTTTAATTAATATTGCCTTTTAGCAACCTCGCCTGTTTCATAAAGTCTAATAAGGGTTTATTGGGTTTATCTGAAAGCTTTATTGTTGTTCTCATATTTCCTCGCCTTTATCCTCACCTTCGTTTTATCTTTATGATCCAAGTCTAAATTATATAACATAATACACCTTTATTATGATACATTAACTCAGCGGTTAGTGCCATTCTTAAGCCCATCTAATAATTAAACCTTTCCCGCTTGTCAGCAAATATGCCATGTGACAAGTGACGGTGCTTTGTCATCATCGAAAATAAATTTTCTCTATAATTGTTTAAATGTGATTAAAAAAAGTAGAGTTAAAGATTTCTGAAGGGTTATGTAAGTTGTGTGAAACTTAAAAACGAAGCGGAGCATATGAAGTAGCCCTTCCTATTTTTAAAATAGTCAATATTTATTTAAAGTTCATTCATTCTGAATGTGTCAAAGATCAATCCCCCCTCAAAAAAATCGTAATGGAAAAAAATTTTGTGTTTTGGTGTGCGTAAAGTCGATTAGATGCATGGCTTATGACATAATAAAATTGTAGACCAACACAGAAATTCCTGCCCTTATTAGAGAAAAGAATATGTTCAGGGCACCATGGTGGCGCAGTGTGTAGCATGATTGTCTCATAGCAAGAAGGTCGCTGTTTCGAGCCCCGGCTGGGTCAGTTGGCATTTCTCTGTGAAGTTTGCATGTTTTCCCTGTGTTGGTGTGGGTTTCTTCTGGGTGCTCCGGGTTCGGGTGGTGAAATATGAAAAAAAGCTTATTTTTAAAATACAAATTTATTATATCATATATCAATAGTAAACAAAAATAGGAATCTGTGCAAGTTAAATTAAAAACTGTAGCCTATTGTCATTTATTAGTCATTAATAAACTAGCCAGATAATAAATAATAAACTGGCTTTTCTCAGTCGTAATTTTCAGCCAGAATTTATTTGAATAATAATAATAATAATAATAATAATAATAATAATAATAATAATAATAATAATAATAATAATGTAGAGCTTCACCATTTTTCTAGCATCTCTTGAAAAAAAAACTGTACATTTTAATATAATTATGAATAACAACATAAGCCAAATTAGTATTTAAATTGATGTAAATACAGCCCACTTTTGGTGCTTCACACCTTTTTATGGGTCATTCTTTTCATTTCAAGAATAAGGTCCATAATTTAGAATAAAAGTTACTTGTAAAATGTTTTCTCTTTAAAAACAATACAGTAGGTCAGTAGTGAAAGATAACTTCTCTTATGTCAGATTGTGTGTTTTCTTGCACAGCTGGATGTTGGACTCATGAAAATAATTGTTTGCATTGAGCAAAACTGATTAGCTGAAGTCACGACAGCCGACAGAGGAGTCCGCTTAGTCCTAAAGTCTGTTTTGATGGGTTATTTTCACAATGTATGATTGTAGTCGAAATTGGACAAATGAACTTATGAATGGGACAAATTCTGGACCTTTGTCAGTGAGGGGTGGGTCTTCTGAACCACAAGAACCTCCCCGACTATGGCCCGCTCGAATGAAGATACATTTGACAACCCTAGTTTTTTAATATGGATTATGGTGGCATGATAAATTGCATGCATTTTTTTGCACACATTTGTCAGTAAAGCCGGTTCTGTAAATCTACAGAAAGTGTTTTCACACAGTAAACCGACATTTATTAAGGTTTCAGTACCAATTTCTCCTGAAGGTCACTTCGGACAACTCTTGTAGGAACAGATACTACAATAGAGTTCAATGGCTGTTTTTTTCTCCATCATTTGAGTAGTTCTTCCTTTGTGTTAAACATAAGAAAGAAACTCAAACAGGTTTCATTTTTGGGTGAACTATTCCTTTAAGGGTTTTAAGCAAAAGGGACCAAATGCAACGATAAACCAGAGCAACTTTGTAAGGACAGCTGAATACTTTTTGTGTACTTCTGAGTACTGCTGCTAAATACTTTTGTGAGCTATCATGTAGGCTGTCATTAGGTCGTTGCGTATTGTTAGCCGATGTTTTTACTCTTTGTGCCTGGCTGCTGAAAGGGCTTGTTTTGATGCACAGCATTGGTGTGAAAGTGGCTGTAAATGGAGCTGCCTGCAGAAAAGTGACTCAGCAGATGCTCCGAAAACTCTGAGAATCAGACGGCTGGAGAAAGATAGACATGTCGGACCAGCTTGTCTGACAGGACTTGTGAAATCTAGTTGTCTGTCTCTCACCTGAGGCATTCTGATTGTTGGTGTGTTTTTTTTTTTTTTTGTATACATTGGTATTGACAGTTGTCTCTTAAAAAAAAATTTAAATTAAGTCTTATGGTGGGGAAAAACGGCTACATGTGGCATAAGCAATATATCTTAGTTTGTCAAATGGCCCCTTTCCACTAAGTGGTTCAGTACCGGTCACCTTTATCAGGCTTGCATTTTCACTGCCAAAAGGGTACCAATTGTATTATATGCCATTAAATAATGCGGTTATATAAAATAAACAAATAAATGCAACATATATGAGCACATACAGCCCCATACCAGTCACCGATATGTTACCAATTACAGAAAAACTACACACAGCATACATTTAGTCCTTATTTGGGTTCAAAAACAACATGCATCATATAGCCTACCTCTCAGGTGCAAATCTCTCATCTGTTTGTTTAATCTTTGGCAGCTCATGTAACCTCTTGTTAGAAAGAAATTCCGTCAATTTGAGTTCATAACAGTCTAAAAGGCGATAGTAATAGTTAAACATGGCAGTTTGTTCATGTTTTAGGTTGCTGAAAAATCATTTGCTGCTTTGTTTTTTTGGGCTTCACTTTTAAAAAAAACTTCTCCCC